AGAGAGATGGCTCAGAGGTTAAGAGCACTGGCTGCTCTTGCAGATGACAAGAGTTCAATTCCCAGCACCCATCCATATGGCAGTTAACAACTGTCCATAACTCCAGTTCCAGGGGAATTTGACATTGTCTTCTTATCTCTGTGGGCACTGCATGACACAGGCACACTTACGTACATGCAGGCAATACACCTGTACACATAAAATTTAAAAAATAATCAATAAAATATAAAAAAAGAAGAGAGGTGGATTCTGCTTCAGGTCTCTAAGAGGTTCCTTGGACGTGGTAGCAGTTAATATAGGATTTGCTTTATATATAATGGCATTTTATATATAGTGCATTTAGGATGTAGTATAAATGTAAGCTGTGTTTGCATCTCTGTTTTATCCTTGCTAAAACTTTATGAGATCTCTGTCTGGTTTGCTTTACAGAGAAGCAATCTGAAGCCGTGAGATTAAGTACTTTGCTAGCGGTCACACATGATAATGCTGTGTTATTGAACAAGGAAGTCACTTAAACTCTATGTAAAGACGTGGAGGCAGGAATAATTTATCCTGCAGGAAAACCACAAGAAGTAAAGCAAGGCTCCAGTGGGGAAGGATGGGAGCTGCTGGAGACAGAGGCCAGAAAAGGAGACAGAGACCAGACTCAGAAACAAGTGATGATGACTGATTCAGTTGGAATTTAATGAGCACCTATGAAGTGACCTCTGAGTAGCCCACAAGTACAGAGCACCCCCAAACAGAAGCAAGCTCTGGACAGAATCATTAAGCACTTCTTACGTGCTAAAGAGTTTGGGTTTTATCATTCAGGAAGCGATAAAAGACTTTAATCCAATGGCTGCCAAAAGTAGTCAGTTTGCTCTGGCAGCAGTTGTAGGGCAGGGGTTTGAGAGGAAGCAGAGTGACAGCAATCATGGAGAGAGGGGAAGGGATTGGAGTGACAGGAGGCAAAGAGACACAGTAGTGTCTAATTGGGTGACTAATTGGAAGTGGGTGGTGAAGACTTGGGAGAGGTCAGCTAGGAGGATTGGGGCTTGAGGTCTGACTGGCTAGATAATCAGATGGTGATGTGTCCCATTAAGAGAGAAATGACAGTGGAGGGCTGATAGGGAGTCAGGTAGGAGAAAACGTGAGGGAAGAGGGATTCACGTTTGATTTTGATTTTTTTACTCTGGTATTTTAAATTTTATTTATTTATTTTATGTGTATGAGTGTATTGCCTACATGTATGTAAGTATACCCATGTCGTACAATGCCTGTGGCAGTTAGAAGAGGGTATTGGATCCCCAGGAAATGGAGTTATGGATAACTGTTAGCTGCCATGTAGATGTTGGGAATGGAACCTGGGTCCTCTGCAAGAGCATCTGTCCAGCCCTCATTTTTTCTTTCTTTCTTTTTATTAAAAATACATTTTTGCTAGCTTTAGTGTGTGTGTGTGTGTGTGCGCGCGCGCGTGTGTGTGTGTATGTATGTATGTATGTGTGTGTGTGTCTGTGCATTTCAGGGCATGTGTGGTGGCAGTCAGAGGACAGCTTACAAGAGTTGTTCTTTTCTTTCACCATGTGAGACTAAGGGCTCAAACTCAGGTCTGGTGGCAAGCACCTTTGTCTGCTAAACCATCTCCCTGACCCCATCTTTGTTTTGAGACAAGGTCTCTTGTTGGCCTAGAACTTGCTGAGTAGACTAGGTTGGCTGACCAGGGAGCTCTAAGAGACTGCCCGTCTCTGGCTATGTAGCACAGGAATCACAAGAGTGTCCTACTATGCACATTTTTTTTTTTTCTTTTTAATGTGAGTCCCTGCAGATAGAACTCAGGTCTTCATGCTTGAAAGGTGAGCACTCGACTGACTGGACTATGACTTGAGTCTCCTCCCCCATTTTTGTTTATTTATTTTTTAAAACAGGGTCTTACTTTGTAGCCCTGGCTGGGCTGGTATTTGCTATGTAGACCAGACTGGCCTCCATCTCACAGAGATCCACCTGCCTCTGCCTTGGGAGTGCTCAGATTAAAGGCATGTGCCACCAAGCCAGCCCCTTCTCTTCTTATAAAGATAGAAAGATTCAATTCCAGGCCTCCACTCTGATGGCCTATCCCAGTCACCCCCATAAGCCCTTCCTTTAAACACCACAGTTAGATCAAATTTCACCTTCTGAATTCCCCCATGAGGATTAGATTTCCACAGGAGCCTTCAGAGAGAACACTATTCAAACCATAGCACAGACTATGAAAATCTCGTCTAGAGTTATTACCTACCCAGGCGTCTCCTTTCTTACCAATGCCAGTTTGTTGCAGTTTGATAACCCAGAGGCTTGGGGACCATCTCCCAGCTCGTTGGGGGAGAACAAAGGGCTCTCCTGGATCAGCGGTAGAGAGGGGCTCCCACGCAGGTGCTGGAGAGCTCCATCCTGAAGCCCACACATATTGGGCTTTTTCTTTTCTCTTTCGGTTCAAAACATTCAAATCATCTTCCGGTTAATCGTGATTTCACTCTACTGTATCATATTCTTGGGATACTAACACCTGTGAGTGTATGTTTTTGTATGCAGGAAATTTATACTGCCTTTCATATTTTCTGTCACTCATTTTCTTGCACTGGCCTCACCATAATAAAAGAACTCAAAGTCTCCTGCTGGCTAACGGGTTAATGCTGCAGCTTTGAAATTTTCCCCCTTGGGGACTACAGTTTGCACAGGCGTCCTTTATTCTTCTGTTAGGAAAGACTTAAGGGGAAGAGGCTAAGACTCTGACTGCGCCTTCCCTGCACATTCATAAGAAAAGCTGGTACATTCATGGCTGCTCCATGATGTAGAAGAATGAGTGAATGAAAGTTTGGGGCACAGCTCACCTCCAAGAGAGTGGTCCTGCTTCACACAGACCTGAGCCGCGATCTCGAATTTCCCTATAAAGCCATCCCCCGCCCCACTCCCACCGTCATGGCGTTCCCAGCATTTTTGTAATCAAACTGGGTGGTGGGTTTTTTTGAGTTTTTTCCCCTTTCTCTTTTTTTCCCACACTGCCTTGGATAAAAGATCCCGCCCTTGATTGAAATGGAATCTTCCACTATTGAGCGAGCCTTTGTTGAATGAGTCATCGGCGCGGTCGCTGATTGGAGGAGGCCTCCTGAGCCCAGGGGATTGTCTGGCACCGGCTGTAAGGCCCCGCTCCATTCACAGAAACGCTGGCTCGCTCGCCGGCCTTTTCATTCACACAAACAGCATCTCATTCACATTCTGCCGCTTTTTTTTTTTTTTTTTTTTTTTTTTTCTAATGAAGACCACGGTTTGGGAATGGTGGGGCTGACTTGTTTCAGATTGGAGGGGGACTCTGATCTCCTTCGAAATCGTCGGTGGGGTGTGCTTCTGCTGTTGCTATGCGAGCGAGGGGAAGGGAGAAAGGAGAGAGCCGGGTGGCTGCTGGGCTAGGGCTGCGGCGCGGGAGGAGAACGGTGGGGACGCGTTTGCTGCGCCGGGGACGGCGCGGTTGCTCTGCGCTCCTGCATCCTCGGAGCCCGCCTCGCCCGCGCGCGCCGTGGGTGGCGCTCCCTAAACTCCTCTCCTCTGGCTCCCTGCAAGCCCGGGGACCTCGGTGCCACCCACGATCAGCCCTGGGCGTGAAAAGACTCAGGGTGACCTGCTAGTGTGCTAGAGGCGAACGCATTCGCTTGTGCAGAAGTTACCAGGAAACTTTGACAGCGACTCTCTTCACCGTGGCGCAAGGTTATTATCTTAACGCATGCGGCCACCTGGCAGAGGCCACCAAAGGGGTTAGTGGGTCCCAGAATCTCCGGAAGACCTCCGGAAAGGCCGTCACTGTTGTGTTCCAAGCGCGAGGAAGAAGGCCTACGCGTGTCACTGCAAGCTTGGGCCTGACTCCCAACTACGAGGCTTCTCTTGCTGTGGATTTGGTGGGCAGTTAGAGCAGCCGCATTTTACCCCCATCCTGGCTGAAGGGCTGCAAGCAACAACTGAAGGGGCTTTAAAATGGATTGCTAGTGTCTCTTAGGCGTGTTTCCAGAGCTTAACACATTCATTTGGAATAAAGCTTGAATCGCAGCCCTCTTTTTCAGGAATGGATTTCTGGAGCCTGTTGCCGCTCATCAGAGAAGCACTCCTCCCTTTTGGAAGTAGATTTTCAACTTAACCCTGGCTGAGAAAGACGGCTGACTGTTGTAAATTAGCAGGGAAGACCCCTGGAGCTGCACTGGGCGGAAGTTCATATGTAGATTTGATTTTTGTGTGTGTTTTGTTGAGGAGTTGCATCGCCACAGAGCCTCGTCATGGCTGCTCTGCTGCTCTGAAAAGGAAGAAAACTGCAGGAAACTGGTGTTTTTATGCTCACCTGCTGGCGAAGATTCCTTTTATTTTTCTATTTGAAAAATACTTGCTACTTTCCAAATCAGGATTCATCAGGAATTGCCGAAGACTTCTTCTTAAAAAGCCTTCGTCACATTTTAAAGCATCCCTGTCAGACGCAGACGAGCTGAGCCGGAAAGAGCAAACCCTAAGATGGAATAATGGGTTTCAGAAAGTTTATCTGATCTTTGGAAGGAACTGGATCTACCTTTGGCACAGATGCGGGATGGGGAGGGGGCAGGCGAAAAATCAAGACAGGAAAGAAATCTCCACGAAGGTAGAAAAAGGGAATTTGAGAATTGATTGGCTGTAGTTGTTGTCGGCGGGTGGAAGCCGGTTTCTTGTCTCTTGCTACAGGAAGTGATTTGCGGAGTTCACCAAGCCTTTGTTGAGAAGGGTCTCCTCTCCCCGTGAGTCACGCTTGGGCTGGAGCAGCCCCAGGCAGCCGGGCGCTTCAGCAGCGGCAATTATGACTTCGGCAAAGCCGGCGTTCCACCCCAAGCCGCGGTCTCCCGGGCCGGCGCTGCGTGGCAGCTGCGGTGCTGCCTTTTAACGGTCCTCGGCCTCGGCTGTCCCTCTGCACACAGGCTGTCCCGGGACCCCAGCTCCTCGTGCCGCTCCGGGGCCCGCGGCTCGCGTGCTATGCGCGGTAGCCCGCGCCGGGGCCGGCAGCAGCAGCGCCCGGGCGGATGCGGCGAACCCACGGAGGGGCATGCTTCCAAGGACCAAATACAACCGCTTCAGGGATGACGCGGTGACATCGGCCGATGACCTTCTCCACAGCTTGTCGGTGAGCGGCGGCAAGGTCTCGGCGGCGGCCGCGGCGACCCCCTACCTGGTGTCGGGCGAGGCGCTGCGCAAGGCGCCAGACGATGGGCCCGGCAGCCTGGGCCACCTGCTCCACAAGGTGTCCCACCTGAAACTCTCCAGCTCCGGCCTGCGCGGCCTGTCGTCCGCCGCCCGGGAGCGTGCGGGCGCGAGGCTCTCGGGCAGCTGCAGCGCGCCCAGCCTGGCCGCCCCAGAAGGCGGCAGCGCAACCCCTGGGTCCCGCGCCCAGGCCGCCAGCATGAGCGCCGCCAGGAAGGGTCGGCCGGGCGACGAGCCGCTGCCCAGGACCCCGCGGGGCGCTCCGCACGCCAACGACCAGGTGCTGGGGCCCGGAGTCACCTATGTGGTCAAGGTGGGTAACCTGAGCGCAGCGCCCTGGAAGGGGTCCTGGGGTCAGGGTGAGGGGTGAGTGATGCTAGGGGCGGAGGTCCTTCTCTGGTGTCCCAGGGTGCGGGAAACACTCGTGGCTGTCGTACTGGATGCAAGGAGATGGTCTTCCCTAGCCATCCTTTTGCTTGGCAAGGCGAGGAGCGAACTACAAATGTGCCTTTCGTGTATACTTGCGGAAAAGGTTGAACAGTCTGGCGACACCAAAGGGCCTGGTTTCTTCTGGGCTCCGATTTTAGGGCATGCATCTGCCACTTGACTTAATGAGCTGTCCCGCCAGTGCTCCTCTCGCCCTGGGCGCCCAGCCATGGGACTCGGGCCTGGCCTACCTACTGGTTTATGAAGTACACTTGTCAGACCCAGCAGCCCACTTCCCTGATGAACGATGGATCCTGGTGGCACAACTTTGTGTCCTCCCCTGGCGGCAGGGTGGGCCACTTCTTCCCTCCACACCAAGAATGCCCACCTCCTGAAAGGCTGGCCATACGCTGGGCTGGCTTGCTTTCTATATAAGATGGGTTCTATTTTCTTACCTAGCAAGATTTTCTTTGGTCCTGAGTTGTTTTGGTTTGCAGCATTGAAAAGAGACTTTGGGACTATTTATTCTGGTGACTGTAGTTTTCCATTTAAATGGGGTGGTGGGGTGGGTGTAGTTGTGGCACCTGGACCCACAGGCTGCAAAGAATGATAAAGACCACAATGCAGTTGGCAGCCATGGTATCTAAGGAGCAGGTAGTCAGCACAGTTCCAGTGCTCTGCTAAGTGCTTATTTCCTCCTGCCTGACCTGCTGCGGCAGCCGCAGTCTCCCCCTGGGCACAGTTCTCCCAGACAGGGCTGAGAACGCGGCTGTGTTGTTTCAGTTCTGCCACCCAAGGCGTAGCTTTTTGTTGAAACAGAAATGAGACATGAACCCTGTCCCCTCTTGTGTTAATAAAACTGTAGGACACTGGTCTGTAAGCACTAGCTGCAGATCCAATGAAAAAATTCCACAGGGCACCCCTTCAGGTAAAACTCCCTGCAATGTATAACTCTGTTATCTTTCACTGTGTAAAAAACATATAAAAATGTGTCCATCAGTGTTAAAAATAGGGTCTGTCCCCAATCCAAGTCTGCATTTTAGTTTGACCTGCTTCTCAGCTACTGAACATGGATCGTCATATTTTACCAAAAGTGACACAGATCAGCATAAAATATGCGCATTTGGTTGAGTTTATCTTAAAGAAAATGAATATAGTTCTTGTATTGCTTATTTAAATTGCAGGTCAGGGGCCACCCAACCAAACAAAAAATGCTGACAACTACTTCTAGAATGTTAGTTTAAAAATATTTTATTACTTTTATTTTATGTGTATGAGTGTATTGCCTGCATGTATGTGAGTGCACCCATGTCATGCAATGCCGCGGAGGTCAGAAGAGGGCTTTGGATTCCCCTGGAACTGGAGTTAAGGACAGTTTGTAGCCACCATATGGGTGCTGGGAATAGAACCCTGGTCCCCTGCAAGAGCAGTCAGTGCTCTTGACTGCTGAGCCATCTCTCCAGCCCCTAGAATGTTAGTTTTATAACTGCTACTTCTTTCTGTTAAGTCTACATTTAAAATTGGTGAACTGAGTTGGGCAAAGCTTTGCGTGTATTATGTCGCTCATGGAGGGGAGTTTTCAAATTAAGGGACACTACTCAAACTTAGACTTAAAAAAAGTATTAACTGTATCAGTCCCCAAACAATGTCAATGAATCTGGAATTTAAATACTCAGAAAAATTAAATTGTTATTTTAGAAAAAGCATCACTTTGCCTAAGGCTTTGCCTTTGCCTTTGGAGGAAGGGAGATGTCCCTTTCAAAGGCCAAACTGGACTCTAGGAAGATAAAGCTGCTCTGCTTGGGTGCTTTCTGTGGGAGCCAGGTTTTGAGTCACCCCAGTGTCAACAGGGGAACTTCATGGGTGGAAGAGCAGAGTGGGTCTGCTCAGAGCCTACTGTGCCTCAGTGAGGGGACACTACAGTGCCACAGGGGTGCAGGGTACCAGTTACTGGTGATCTGCACTGTCCTTGCTTCATCCCCTGGTTGGTCAGCAGCTGTGAATAATGGTGTCCTGTGGTCCCTGAAATCCTGGAGGAGTTTAAGATCATGAAGAAAGAAAGCCAGACACTAAAGGACAGTTGCATGTCTTGTGTGTGCGTCCCCTTCAAATGACTGCATGGCTCTCTGTTGGCACACATGTGCAGATTCCTGCATTGTCCATGTTGAGTTTAAAACCAACTTGTTTCATTGAAAAATTGTAAAGTGTTAAAAAAAAAAGCCCACATTTGGTATTGTTCACTGATACGTGAATATTCCTCTGTGTCCCTCAAAGACTTCTGGTGACTAAAAACCAGACCATGTCTTAGAACTAGGTTTCACTTCTAGAATCTTAAGTTTTAGCATTTGGGAAAGGATTTAATTTTCTTTGATATAAATTTGTTTTCTAACTTAAAGAAAGCCCCAGATGCTCAGTTTCTGAAAGATTCCTACACTGAATCATTACAGATTTTCTCCCCTAACAGACATACCTACTGATAGGTAATATCAGGATGATCTACAGTAGTGATAAGACTCGGATATTTCGGCATCATCTAGTTACTTAAGAGAGGGACCGTAAGATATCCAAGCCTGGTGGGGTTTGCTTGTCTATGAAGCATCAAACTATTTCTGCAGTAGCTGATAGCATTAATTAATGAAGGATGGAAAATTTAAAACTGAAAAAAGTTCCCCAGGAGCAAATTTAAACTATCTTTCCATCACTTCCAAGCCTTCTGTTAATCTTTTAAAAGTTTTAAAATTAATTTATTTTTATTTTATGTGTATGAGTGTTCGCCTGCATGTATGTAAGTGTATCATGTGTGTGTAATGCCTGTGGAGGCCAGAAGAGGGTTAAGTTGGGTCCCCTGAACCTGGAGTTTAGGGATGGTTGCTAACTGCTATGTAGGTGCTAAGAATGGAATTCAATCCTCTGTAAGAGCAACAAATGCTCTTAACTACTGAACCATGTCTCCAGCCCCCCTTTTTTCTGTTTTTTAATTGAATTTTTGCGTATTTCATACAATACATCTTAGTCATATTTAGACCTCCTATCTACACCCCCAAAACCCCCTCCCACCAGAATTCATGCATTATGTTATGTTCTCCAATCCTTAAAAAAAATTGGGGGGGGGCAGGGTTTCATATATCCCAGGCTGGCTTTGAACTTGCCATGAAGTTAATGATAATCTCAAACTTCTGATCCTCCTGCCTCCACCTCTCGACTGCCAAGACTACAGGTCTGCACTGCCACACCTGGTTTATGCTGTGTGGGGGATCAAATCTAGTGCTCGGGCATGCTAGGCAAACACTCTTCCAACTGAACTACAGTGCCATCCTGGCCTGATGTTAAATAACAGCAGGAGCTCATGCACCCAGGAGGGGTCAAGATTTAGACTATGGTCAGCCAGATCTTACTGACAACACTTACTTTTTTTTTTTAATTGTAGTAACATAGAAGAGAAAGAGCAAGGAAATAATCATTGGATAGACAGAAAAGAAAAATCTAACAGCAAAGATTAATGAATACTTCATAAATTTTCTGTTTAAATTGTTTTCTGTTTAGATATAACACTCTTGTAGAAATAGAAAAGAATATCAATTTCAGCATGCCAACCTTTGAATTCTGTGGTCCTGAGTCGGAGGATTTCGTGAAGCTGCAGCAGGTGCAAAGGCCACATGCTGGTGCCCATCATCTCCATCCTGGTTTCTGCAGGGGAGACTTTAGGAAGGAAAGCTAGACAGGCACAGTTCACAGTTCTTCTTCAAGAGCCTGGGGCTAGCTGTCTGAAGACAAGTCTAAGGTTCAGTTTGGGCCTGGTGGACACTGAGGCTGCTGTTGGGGATGTGATACTGTGGACTACAATGTGATCCCCACAGAAAGGGCTCCTTAGGTCACTTGAAAAATTTTGAAAGGCCGAGGTGATTGGAGAGGAACTCACTGGCAGAGATGCGCTCACAAGTGACCATGTTTAGAGCAGTTCCACTGCTACCTGCAAAACTGAGATCCAACTGGAAAGCAAAGGTTTAAGGGATCACTGTGTAGAGCTGTGCACACAGTGGTTGTCACCTAGGAATCGGTAGATTAAGGCTGCTCATACATCTTGGGGATAGTTCTGTTTCTGTATGCGGGTGTTCCCCCCCCCCGTGAAAAAACCAGCCAGCTGTTTACAGATTTCTTTCCCCAGTATTGGAGATTGAGCTCAGGTCCTTACACATGCTAGGCAAGAGTTCACCACTGACATCCCCAGACCTATAGGAGGTGTTAACAGCCACAAAGGAGGGAGTTATTTCCTGATGTTCTGGCACTGGTTTTCTAACAGAACAAAGCTTGTTTTTGTAAAAATCATTTAAAAGTTTCTTTATTTCTCCCACTTATGAATCTCGTGACATCTGGGGTGGTGTGAATCATTTGCTTTATTCATTAACGTTCTCGTTATTTCGTTATCTTTATCTTTATAAATTATTTTTATAAATTGCATTTATTCTAAAATTTGTTCTTAAGTTTTGCTTTGAGTCCATCTATATAAGGATTTTTAAGAGTTCTTTTAATAAGTGAGAAAACTGTGAGAGCAGTCATTGCCAAGTCCTGAGCACATCTAAGATGCCTTTCCTGTATAACGGGTTAATCAAATTTAGTTTTAGTTCTAGATTTAAAAAAAATCTTCCTTGATGTGGAGTTGAACTTTAAAAGTTGGTATTTTTCCTTAGAGTTGTTTAAAAATCTTATAATATGTAGCTCTCATGTGACTACTGTCCAAGAACTGAACAGTAATTTAAGAAACTTTCATGACAATAATGCTAACATTCTTAATTTGATCTGGAAAACTGTGTTATCTCTTATGTGACAGAAGCATCAATGTTTAAAAAAATCCCTCCACATATCCACATGTACATACCTCACAGCTAA